AGGCTCTGATTTAGCGCCACCATCAGGCCTTTTCACTTCCATTTCCGTTTTGTTGTCCGTTTACACTTTAATACCCACTTATTTTGTAGTTGGTATGTATATTTAATAAAATAATCTGCTGCTTATGTTATTTTTTTTGTTATAGCATTTTATAAATGATAATATTGGTGTTAATGTTCACTTTATTTTAATTGAAGAGGTCATGTATATTTAAGTTATATTTATTTTGATTTTTGAATGTTCCATTCAAAAATGTTATTAAAAAGGCATGTACACCATAAAAGATGACTATTGAGGTCTATTGTCAGGAATGTTAGTGTTATATCAAATAGTGAATTCCACTGCAGTAGAATGTTGCACGTCTGCACAGTGTTATATGTTCACCGCTCAGTGTCAGTAAATATTGTGTAGTTAGGATTGGACTACAAGATAGATGCAAGCCTGTACAGTTAGTTATTTAAAGCATAAATGAGTCGGTTGGGTTCTGGAGGTGTGGTTACAGCATTGTGCTTGGTTGGCGTGGCCTGGGCCTGGTGGTGGGGCTCAATGTGATATATTTTCATGGGGCCCAAAATCCCTGGCGGCACCCCTGGAAGCATGGCATACTGTGTCATGGCTAGATCACTGTATATGCACACGCTTCTCTGGACAACATTGACATCTGTTATGAGTTGGCCACTACAGATCATATTCCTTTTGTATTGACCCTAAATGTTGAAAATATTCCGGTGCTATCTGTTGATGACAATAAAACATACACAGGGAGGCTGGATTGGTCAAGGTTAAGTGAGAAGGATATTAATCACTATACCTCACTCACTGACAAATCATTAGACTTGGTTGTAATTCCAAGAGAAACAATGCTGTGCAGTGACACCAACTGTAAAAATGTGCAACATGGTAGAGATCTATGTTTTACATATGATCTTATTATTGATCCAATCCATTTTATTTATATAGCACATTTAAAAACAACAGAGTTGAACAAAGTGCTGTACATCAACAACTGTATAAAAACATAGCATAAATACATAATAACAGACAGGACATTAAATAAATGTAATACACGATACAATGAAACCAGATCAGAAGCCACCGACTGAAAAACTCTCCTATATGACGTAAAAACAATACAAAACACTAGTAAGGTCAAAACAAAACAAAAACAAAAACACATTTAACAGCACAAGTGTCACCTGGTCTGTACAGTAAAAGCCAGGGAAAATAAGTGGGTTTTTAAACGAGATTTAAAAACAGGCAGAGTTGGAGCAAGTCTAACCTGGAGGGGTAATTCGTTCCATAACTTTGGGCTCTGTCTCCCCGCTGCTTTAGCCTCGATTTTGGGACTTCCAGAAGGAGTCGGTCAGCAGACCTCAGTGACCGTGTGGGTGTGTATGGTGTGTTAAATGCCTCAAGTAAGGGTTTTTACAACAGTAAGAAAAAGGAGCATAGTATAAAACCTGGATGGAATGAACATGTGACTGAGCTACACTCTGCTGCTAGAGATGCTTTTAAATCGTGGGCCGAATCAGGAAGGCCGAGACAGGGGTCTTTGTTTGAACATAAACAGTTCACTAATGCCAAATATAAGTATGCTGTCCGCTTCATTAAAAAAAACGAGGACACAATGAGGGCTGACTCACTTGCCAGAAAGCTGCGCAAGAATAGTTGCTATGATTTCTGGAAAGAGGTCAAAGTCATAAACAGCTATAAGACTCCCTTACCGTCTTCCATTGAAGGAGTGTGTGGGTCAGGCAGCATCGCAGAACTGTGGCGACAACACTATTATGAGTTGTTCAACGGTGTTAAGAGTGATGCATTTGTGGTTGAAAAGGTTGACTCCACTGAAAATGTTACAGTTAGATCAGAGGAAGTCTACAACACTATAATGAATCTAGAAAATAACAAAGCTTGTGGCCTGGATCTCATCTCAGCTGAACACTTAAAACATGCAGTTAAGCTTGCTCCTCTTCTTGCTCTGTGTCTTACTGGTTTCCTTAATCATGGCGTCTTACCAGATTCCATGTTATCTGTGCTACTTGTGCCAGTCATCAAGGATAAAGCTGGGAAGATTAATGGCATTGATAATTAAAGACCCATTGCTTTAGCTAGCATTCTCTCCAAAGTGTTGGAGAAAATTCTGTTGGATAGGCTGGAAAGGTATATTACCACAGCTGACAACCAGTTCGGTTTTAAAAGAAAACATGGCACAGATATGTGTATTTCTGCTTTAAAAGACATTATAGCAAAATATAGAAGCCATAATTCCACCATGTTTCTGTGTTTTATTGATGCTTCCAGGGCATTTGATAGACTGAATCATTTCAAATTATTTGACCAAATGTGCCAGAGGGGTAACCAAGTACATAATAAGGATCTTAGCCTTCTGGTATGCACATCAGACTATGCAGGTGAAGTGGGGCAATACTGTGTCTGAACATTTTTATGTTGGTAATGGGGTCAAGCAAGGTGGGATTTTATCTCCTTTGTTGTTTAATCTGTACATGGATGATCTGTCTAGGAAACTGAACTTGTGTAAAACTGGCTGTGTCATCGGAGCTACTGTTGTCAACCACCTTATGTACGCAGATGATTTAATCATCTTCTCCCCATGCAGTGCTGGCTTACAACAGCTTCTGAGGACTTGTTCCCAGTATGGCATTGATTTTAATATTAAGTATAACGCCAAGAAGAGTAGCATCATGATTGTGCGAAGTAAAGAGGATACAAAGGCTGTATTTCCTCATTTTATTCTCAGTAGCAACATTCTTCTTGTGTGCAGTGAGATTAAGTCTTGGTCATTATATTTCTGATGATCTCACAGATGACAAAGACATCCATAGACAGCGCTGCAAACTGTATGGCCAGGCAAACATATTAATGCGGACATTTCACAAGTGCTCTGTAGATGTCAAGGTATCACTTTTTAAAGCTTTCTGTACTCCATTGTACACGGCTCACCTGTGGAGTAACTACAAGGCTAGAACTAAAAGTTGCATGCAATGATGCTTTACGGTTGCTGCTGAGGGTACCAAGATGGCACAGTGCCAGCCAGCTGTTTGTTAACTTGGGGGTACCTACCTGTCAAGCCCTTTTAAGAAATGTAATGTACAAATTCATGTGTCGCCTAGAAGACTCGGACAATCATGTTATCTCGATTTTAATCAACCCTGTGAAGAGTTCTACTCGGTTCTCTTCCATGATTTGGAGACATTGGCGCAATAGGCGGATACAAGCGGCCGAGATGGGTTTTCTCCGCAGGGTGGCTGGTGTCTCCCTTAGGGATAAGGTGAGAAGTTCGGTCATCAGGGAGGGACTCGGAGTTGAGCCGCTCCTCCTTCGCGTCGAAAGGAGCCAGTTGAGGTGGTTCGGGCACCTAGTTAGGATGCCACCTGGGCGCCTCCCTAGGGAGGTGTTCCAGGCATGTCCAGCTGGGAAGAGACCAAGGGGTAGACCTAGGACCAGGTGGAGGGATTATATCTCTTCGCTGGCCTGGGAGCGCCTTGGGATCCCCCAGTCAGAGCTGGTTGATGTCGCCAGGGAAAAGAAAGTTTGGGGCTCTCTGCTGGAACTGCTACCCCCGCGACCCGACCACGGATAAGCGGGAGAAGATGGATGGATGGATGGATGGATGGCGCAATAGCCTCTACAGACAGTGAGCATGTGTGGCTCGCTGTGATTGGACTGATTTTATGTTTTTTATCTGTTTGTTTTTTTGTTTTGTGTTTAGCTTTTTAATCTTATTTATTGATGTGTATCTTGTCATTTTGTATGTGATATGGACCTTGAGTCTGAAATAAAGATTGGAAATAACACTGTTAATCTCTAAACTATACGAATAATTATTTTTGTAATGGTTGTATTGTGAATGTGAAGCATCACTTTCAAAAATATCAAGACAAGATGAGCATCCTAACAAAAAATGGCATCAGATCCAATTGATCAAATTCTGATAGGAGTAAAGAGGTTTGTTGATAATCGGTATTTGACACGGTTTTGCTAGAGTTTGACCTAATACGTTTGTCAACAAGCTTTCTTTTCCATGACTTAGATGATGACACTACATCAGTAACATTGGGTTAAAGCTTTTTTGCACTGCATTTTGATATTTTATATAACTATTTAAATTAAATATTTTTCAGAAGTTGTCACATTGAGGTTTATAATGATGCAAATTACCATAGGAAATATGTATTCATTTATTGGAAAAATCACAAAAACTGTCCCTGGCCTCCCTAAATAGTAGCCTACTTTTCATTTTGTTTACCTTTTTAAAATGTGCATTTAAGGATTAAACTCAGTTGCACACTAACATTGAGAAACCTGTGAATGTAGATTTGATATGGTACAATTATATTCTCAAATGTAATCTTATAGAACACATTGTTTTTTAGAATAATACAAATATCAAAGTGACTTTAAGCCATAGGCTGAAGCAAGGGGTCTCTGGGAGAAATCAGACGGACCGGAAGCAGAGGAGAGATTTGTGTCGGCGGACTAAAAGCCTCTCTCTCCCGGCTGAGAGCCCGCAGCTTCCCCTTTAAGGAGCGCAGTGATGAGTCGCTGGGAAACAGACTGCTCATCGGGAGACCCACTAGCTATTTATGTCACATTTTCTCTTCTAGCTTAATCTGATGGGATAAATAAGATGATGCTTTTGAATTAATCGGATTTGTTGGTGATCGCTGGACTCTGAGGAGGACTATGACTTTAAATCTGGGATGTAGCCGAGATTTTCTCCCCCATATGGAGCTGAATTGTGAAATTGCTCAATTTCAAGGACGCTCTCTTGATATTTTTTTCTTCTTATGAACGATGTGTTAAAAATAGCATTTTGAAATACCGTGTGCGTCAGCTCTATGGCATTTTTGCAGTAAATCTGCGGGAAATATTATGGCAGATGTGCTGGGTTTTGGTTATTTGCGACGCATGGCGCAGGTCTGCCCTGACGATGTGATCAGATAGTGGTCAGGTTCCTCTCTCCTCCTCACCAGCCGCTCATGATGCCGAGAGCTCTGCGGAGACTGGTCCATATGGTGCTGTTCTGCCCTCTGTCCAAAGGGCTGCAGGTATGGAGCCCAGCAGATCTGCCTTTGTGGCTACCAGGGTCCATGATATGCAGTGGGGATATGCATCTAGATAGGCTATTAGAGCTCCTTAAGTAGGCCTACCAAATGAAATACAATTTGATATGATTTACTTCAGTAGGCCCGTACACATATTTTAGGTAGGCTACTTGTGGGTTACCTGCCGCCACTTTTTAATAGCAGGTTCCTCTCCATTAACCTTTTAATTTCTCAAAATAACACACATTAATCCAAGGGGTTACAATACACAGGGCAACCATGGAAAAAAATCTTGCCTAATAGCAATAATAATAATAATACAATTGTCATAGATAATAAATAATTATTGTATTGAATACTGCGCAAATAAATACAAATAATATTCTAATAAAAATAAATGCAAACACACGATTCTTGTATCAGGTATATGTATACTTCTACTATAGCCTACGTTTTAAAGGGAAACATTGTCTGTTTTATTCAAATGTAATTTATTTAACACAAACATAAAATAACAATATACAAACTAAACTATCCCCATAAAGGATCTGAATATTTCGCCAATGCATGTCAGATAAATTCAAATACAAAGGGTTTATTTGCAAACTAGCTATAGCAGTGGTTCCCAAACTTATTCAGTCGGCCCCCCTTGGGTAATTGAAAATATATTCGGGACCCCCCAACCCGGTTCCCATCTATATTGGTAGGATTAATTGTATATTGTTGTAAAAACATTACATTTTCTCTACTAATAATAAGAAGATACAAAGATCCAACTATCATTTTATATTTTATTATGGATTACACATGAACAAAAGTGCTTGTAATAGATAGAATGTGAATTACTTTGGCCTAATTAAAACAGCCCTTCTTCCCTGAGTAGTAGATTTTTAAATTCAAATTTATTTAAGGAAAATATATTAATGAACTATTATTTCTACTGCAGGTTGCAAACAATCACACCACGTTACCATTCCTATTCCACACATAGCCATCAATGACTTGTGTGTGCTTGCTTTCCCTCGCAGATCTTCTCAAACCGGGGCTGTTGTTTTGAGACTGCCACTCTCAGTTCATTCTCAATGTTCAGCTTTGATCTGTATTTCGTTTAGATGGCAGCAAGAAAAGCATCTCACACAAGTAGATGTAGCAAAAGGCAGCATTATGCCCACAGCTCTCTGACCAATGAGATATTTTCGAGCAGTGTTTGTTTACAATTGAATAATAATAATATTAATAATAATAATACATTTGATTTATATAGCACACTTTAAAAACAACGTCATCTCAAGGTGCTTAAAAAAGCTAAAAGGAGAAAATAATCAAATTGAAAAATCTTCCAGCGCCCCCCCCCATGCAGTACCTCCGCGACCCACCAGGGGTCGCGCCCCACAGTTTGAAAACCACTGAGCTAGAGCATTGTTTTTAAATGAAAATGGGACATCCCAGGCTCCAGACATAAAAGGATAAAAATACTGCATGAAGAACTATAAATAAATACAAAAGACATCCAATTCAAACAAAGTGTGATTTAAATAAAATATTCCCCTATCTATCTAGCTATCTTGGTTCTTTTATTGTGTTGTGGGCCTATTTTTAAGATCAGTTTTCATCCTCACTGTGTTTTCTCTTATCCTCCTTATCCATCCCATTCCTCTCACCCTCATAAGAGTCGTCTGCCAGCCATTAAGGTGAAGTATCTCCTCCTGGCCTGGCTGGGCATCCTCATCACCAGCTGGGTCATCTACATGCAGTACGCCTCCTACTCTGAGCTGTGCCGCGGGCATGTCTGCCACATGGTCATTGTAAGTAAAGTCTTTCAACACTGCAACACCCAATATGTGCGTTTTCATTAACCTGTTTTTATGCACATTTCTGGAGACGCCATACATTTGAAAGACTTCTGAAATAACTCCAAAAAGTTGTATACCTAAGCTGAGGTCGAGAAAGTTGGCTCTATTGTGGGAACTAGGTTCAAATAATTTTTTAATACACTTTTGGGGTTAAAACTAATATTTACAAAACAAATAGAGGCAAGTATATGAAAAGAAAAACTACATTATGATGTTTGAAAAAAGTTGTTCACATGCAAATCAGAAGGGACTTTTAAACCCAAAATATATGTTTTATAAGATACTGGGTAAAAATTAAACAGTTGTAATTCTGTCACATTTTGTCATATTTTTGACCATGCGTAGGGTAAACATTGAAACTATGTTTGTTCTTGTTGCTCCAGCAGGGCCACAGAACAGCAGATAGCCCTAAGGCAGAAACAGTTCATAATGTATCATCATAAAAACAAAGGGGAATAAGGCAGGATACTGGACAAGACTGTCTTTTGAGAAAAAGAAGAGGGAGAGTTGGGGGCTGCTTGGGTTGGCCTCTTCCTTTACACATGGCCTTTGATGTTGGCTAAAGATACAGCCTTTAGCTGGACTGATCTCCTGCTGTGCCCAGCTGTTTCCAGAGATTTTGTCAGAACAGGCGGCTGAAATGTATTGAGAAAACTGAGATCAATGATGAAACCGGATCATCACAAATGATCCGATCTGCACAGCTCTGTGTGTGTGTGTGTGTGCGTGTGTGTGTGTGTGTGTGTGTGTGTGTGTGTGTGTGTGTGTGTGTGTTTTTTTGTGCCTCAGCTCCAGTCCCTAGTCTCAAAGGCAATGTTTTTTTAATAGATTGTGTTTGGATGACTGAAATAAGGTCTGTGGTTAGTTCAAGCTTAGCATTTCCTGTTTCCTTTTTCAGTGTGATCACTACAGAAGAGGCATTGTATCAGGCTCGTCCTGCAAGGCATTGTGTGATCAGAGAACTCTAACCATGCAGCGCTGCATGTCCACCTCCTCTACACACCAGGTAAAGTAAAACATACACACACCCACACAGATATAAAACGATACCAAACCAGACCCACTTTGCATGTATGTTAAAGTGTTTGTTTGTATGTAAATCCCGTAGACAGTCTAGCCACTAGTCTCAATTGTATCACAACCAGGGGCACCGCCAGGGATTTTGGGCCCCATGAAAAGATATCACATTGTTTACTTAAACATTTTTTTCTTAATGTTCCAAAATTGTTAGGGCCCCTGTCAGTCACGGGCCCTTATAATCGTCCTAACTTTTCACCCCCTTACGGCGCCCCTGATCACAACCATACCATATTCTCTCTCTCTTCACATTTTGTAACTCACAGGTGTACATTGGGCTGTGGAAGGACAGACCTGTTGTGATCAAGTGTGGGCTTGAGGATCCGCTGAAGACTGATGGGGCTCCAGGCTCTTTTCTGCGACAGGAGATGAGCTTATTTGAAAAACCCACTCGTGGAACCTCAATGGATGAATTTAAAGAGATGCTACACAGTTTCCTCAAGGTTTCCTTAAGCAATTACACCTACATTCATTGTTGTAATATTAATAGTAAAATATATATCACAATCAGGGTTCTCAACAAATACTTAAAATGTATATATATTTTTGTATAGTTAAAAAGAATGTTTTAAGAAAATGTAAATGTTCTGTTGAGCTTGCAACCAGTTGGAATGTCGTGTCATTGACATCATGTGCAAAAATAGATGTTTTAATTGTTAAAACCTAAATGTTTATTTTTTTTAAAGAAACATTTTAATCTATTTTTGACCAATTCTAACAGCCTTACTCACCTCCTTCTTGCAGGCTAACCTTGGTGAGCAGCCATCTTTGAACACATTGGTGGACAGGGTCATTACTCTGGCTGATATCAACAAGGACAGCAAAGTATCCCTAGCAGAGGCCAAGTCTATCTGGGCTCTTCTGCAGATCAACGAGTTCCTTCTGATGGTGGCGCTGCAGGAGAAGGAGCACACCCCCAAGCTGCTGGGTTTCTGTGGAGACTTGTATGTGACGGAACACGTGGGCCACAGCTCTCTCTACTGGCTGGAGGTGCCTCACTACCTGCAGGCTCTGGTTCCAGAGGCCCTGAGCTCCAGCCTGAACCACTGGCTCGCTCCAGCCTGGCCTCGCAGGGCTCGCATTACCATCGGCCTGCTGGAGTTTGTGGAGGAGGTCTTCCACGGCTCCTACGGGAGTTTCCTCATATGTGATGCCAGTCCTCGCCACGTGGGCTACAATTCAAAGTATGACTGCAAGATGGCCGAACTGCGCAGCGTGGCGTCTGAGGCAGTGGTGCGGGGGTTCATGAGGGGGCGGCGGTGTGAGACCAACGCAGACTGCACCTACGGCCGGGACTGCACGGCCACCTGTGACCGGCTGGTGAAGCAGTGTAACTCTGAGGTGGTGCAGCCCAATCTGGCGAAGGTGTGTGTGCTGCTGCAGGATTATCTGCTTTTTGGGGCCCCTGTGGACCTCCGTGGGGATCTGGAGAAGCAGCTACGCACCTGTGTGACACTCAGCGGCCTGGCCAGTCAAATGGAGGTTCACCACTCACTGGTGCTCAACAACCTGAAGACATTACTGTGGAAGAAAATCTCCAACACGCAGTACTCTTGAAAGGAGCTTATCATCTACAGTGAATTATTTCATGAACGTGGTCGTTTTTGCTCCTGAAGCTCTGCCAAATGTTTTGAAAGGTGGTGATTATTAATATATTTTCCCTCTGCATTGACTGTGAACAACAGAGAACTGTGATACAGTACGAAACAGCATTACAATGCATTATTTTGAGAAGCACATTCATCTCCTTGGACATAATATTCTCAGGGCGCTTGCCTCTAACTTTATTTGTAAAATAATCTGAGTAAATTTAGTTTTCAAAATATATAGAAGAGTCTTGTCTATCCCTACTGAATGTCAAATTTGACATGGCGTGATGGTTTTTGTACAATTTTAATTATTGGTGGAAATGATTGAACTTCTTGTTTTTTGTGTACAGTATAAATGACTCCATGTAAAGCACAGATAAGATACAAACAATGGATGGAATAATACGATAGTACTGATGTGTGCCTACTGATGTTGATAATGTACAGACTGGGGTTGTATATGATGATCATGATTATACTTGAATGAACTTCTGACCTGTGAATAAACATAATTTGGTTCAAATAATTCATTGTAAAATATTGAAACTCTGGTGAGCTTTCTGACCTCTTGGAGTATGTTTTGATTGAAAACTGGTACCTTTTTCTTAAATGGGTAATAAGATGGATGGAGATACAAGGAACAACTTGAGGTAAATGATTTGATTTAAAGGACCAAGGACATTCAGACCACTGATGACAGCTCTCAGTCAACAGTAACAGTCTCATTGCTCACAGCAAGCAGCCACACCCAACCTCACACAGCACCAGTAAATCTGCTAAAATCGGCTAATTTATAAACTAATTGGCCTAGGATAAGTCAATTAAGAGAACACGAAACTCTTATTATGATGCCATAGATATCATAAACAGTTTAAAACAAAAAAATAGCCTGTTGCATGTTTATCCAACACACTCTCACTCCCTAAACGTCCAGGAGCGACGCTTGGTCAGGGTCCCGTGGCGTGCAGTTGGGACGCGCCGAGGCTCCTTCAGCTTCATAAATGGACGCAAAGAGCTTTCAACTGATTGCAATGTATTCCCATCGGCGGCGGTATTTCACGCTCAGGGAAGCACCGCATCCATTTATGTCGGCAGCTCTTACGGAGCGTCCACACTACAGCTTCAAAAAAAGCTTGGAGCTGGGCGTGTCTGAAGCTTGGGGATTTTATTCGAGCAACGCGACCAACAACCAATCACATGAATCTCCCGCCCCCGACATACAAAGCAAAAAAACCCCGGGGATTTTATGGGAGCAATATATATATAAACTCCCCAAACAGGCGAAAACCTACCCGTTTCACCCACTGTCTCTGCCACCTCCCTCCATGCCTGGTTCCTCCGGTTTGTATCCCGGTAGGTGAAGAGGGTCTGGTCATACAAAACCGGGTGATTTGCTACGGCGATAATTAGTTTCTCCTCCATCTTTTTTTTAAATATAGAAATGAACGGCGGGATATCTCTCCCAGCTTAGACGCGGTTTGATTGGCTAGGGCTTGATCTGTCAGATTTTCCGAAATGGGATTTGATTGGCTGGCGCTGGCTACTCCGGCGTCTCCGGCGTCAGAAGTTGAACATTGTTCAACTTCTGACGCCGGAGACGCCGGAGACGCCGGAGACGCCGGAGACGCCGGAGACGCCGGAGACGGACCGCTATGCTACCCACAATTCAGTTCGGCGAAAAGCGAGGCAACGTGACGTCACCCCATTCAAAGTGAATGGGCAGACGCGTTGGAAACCGTTTTTGAAGCTGTCGAAGCTGTAGTGTGGATGGCCCGTTAAAGGCAATGTGAGTGTCCATTCCCATTGGATAACAGATAATTGTACACCCAGAAGTAAGTATTATCCTTACTGTCGATTGATTTGAAAGTGATATCTCCACTACTCATAAACTCCAAAACACCAGATTACCTTTGTTAATTAAACGACATTGATAGGTTTAAATTGTGTACAATGCTTTTGTGTTTTTCCCCTTCAATTTTGAGAAACAACTTGTTTTCTCTGAAATGTGGAGCGCCAAAGACACTACACTACCCACAATCCCCAGCTATTGTTGTGACGACGCCTGTCCGCTTTGCGACAAACCCCGTGATTAATCTTCAAGCTCTGGGATTGGATATTGGAGTGGCAGTGCGCCAAGGTTACGCCGAGCGTCAAGCTCTTTGAAATGGAACGAAACCACGGCAGACTATTCAAAACTGGACTCGAACGCCCCCCGAGAACTACACATGCTGGCTATTGTGTTTCGCAACATGTTCTCTATTGGCACATTTCCACTGCAGCGGGGTAGCCCCGTTTAAGCGTCCCTAAGCGTCCTCGCTCAGGCCTCGGGCTGCCTCGCTGGCCGTCCGAAGCCGTGGCGCATTTCCATTACAGTTTAGGACCTGGGGTAGCAACGCAGTGTAGGCGGGGCGATCGGCTTCACATTTTGAGTTGTTCCGTCGAGCTCCCGCTGGATTTTATCATCCCCAATGAGATGTAGGAACGTCGTCACCTCCTCGGTCGACCACGGTGTGCTTTTCTTTGACGTTGCCATTTTTGTAGCTCCTCTGTTTACAAAAATGCTGTGTATAAAAATGCTGCAAGCTTGCTTCTAGATATATATGCGACGCTAGGGATGATCTCGCGCCTTGTGACGATTCTCTCTGACCAATCAGCAGTCGAGAGTGTTGACGTCACTAGTTCAGCCCTGGCCCTGGCCTGATAGAACCACGATTTTATGTGGCCGGAAAAAGAGAGAAAAAGTACCCGCTAGCCGGTGCTACGCTATATGGAAAGGCCACCAAAAACTGTCCTGAACGCTTGAGGACGATAAAGGACGCTTAAACGGGGCTACCCGCTGCAGTGGAAATGCGCCAATATGGCGCATTTCCACTGCAGCGGGTAGCACGTCTCTACTGGGAATTGTAGTTTTAAAAGACGTTTTCGTTTTTCCCAAAATTAGAAGTTGACAGTATTAAACTGTGTACAGCCCTGGAGGTTTAGGCGATAGGAAACAAATTGGTGTGTACAAATGTAAAACATGTAATTACTAAATGGGTGAAAATCGCTTGTGTCCATAATGGGCAGCATTAATATATACCCACATGACAGCTCATTGTTACTTTGTAATTCTACTCCACTACAATTCAGAGGTTAACCTGGTATTTTTAGTCCACTACATTTATTTTAGTTACTTTGCAGATTCTGATCAATGATGTGAAATATAAACAACCCTTAAATCAGACTTTAGTTACACCTGAGTAAAATTCAGGGAAGGTGATTGTCAAGTGCCAACAATCAGGAGAGATATTTGATAGTTGCGTGAGAAGACTAAACATTTATCTGCAGATCTCTATAAAGTATATTCATTAATCGTTATTCTCTACTAATAGTTAATTAAAAACTGTATATAATGGCTATTTTGCACATCCCTTTCAAGATTTCAAGATTTCCAAATATACACAACTACGGTGCAGAGTCATATTCCCGCATCATCGTGAGGTCTGATGACACAGATGTGGAAGTACTGCTCATATATTATGCAAGCAAATACATGTTTGGTTCATCTCTGTGGTGTACATGCATGCAGGCCATGGAATGAGAGAGAGATATGTCCCCATCAACACCATATGTGAGAAAATTGGAAAATACATAATAATAATAATAAATTGCATTTGTAAAGCACCTTTCATTGCTAAAAGCAATCCCAAAGTGCTACAGGAGGCGTAAGAAACAAACAAAATAAACAAAAGTTTGATCAAAGGCTTTTTTTTAAAGAAAGGTTTTTAGGCCTTTCTTATAGGCGTCAGTGGTCTGTGGAGTCCTCAGGTGGTCTGGGAGGGAATTCCACAGGTGAGGAGCAGCTGCACAGAAAGCCTGATCCTCCATTGTACAGAGTTTGGTCCTGGGGGGCGAAGCAGATGGTTTGTTGTGGAACGGAGGTTGCGTGTGGAGGTTTGTGATGTGAGTTATTTTAGGTATGAAGGAGGATTCCCGTGGATGCACTGATGGGTCAGTAGTGAGATCTTGTATTCAATCCTGAATGAGACAGGAAACCAGTGGAGGGAATGAAGGACGGGTGTGATGTGGTTGTATTTTCTCACCCTCATCAGGATCCTAGTGGCACTGTTCTGTACGTATTGGAGCTTCTGAAGGTTCCCGTTTGGAGTCCCGATGAGGAGAGCGTTACAATAGTCAAGCCTTGAGGAAACGAAGGCATGGACCAGTTGTTCAGCATCTGACAGGAGTTTTGCAATGTTCCTGAGATGGTAGTAGGAGGTTTTGAACAGGTGTTTGATGTGGGTGTCAAAGGTCAGATGTCGGTCAAATCTTACACCCAGGTTGGTAACTGATGTGGAGAGGGGTATGTTTTGGCCAGAAAAGGTGATGTGGGTTATGGGGGATGACTGGACCTGGTTTGGTGTGCCAACTAAAATAGCCTCTGTTTTGGAGCTATTTAGCTGCAGGAAGTTTTGTTGCATCCAAGCCTTTATCTCCTCAATGCAGGTGTTAAAGGATGTTGATGGGAACGGTGATGTTGATGGTGACAGTGAGGATGCAGGTGGGATAGGGTCTGTCTTTATATATAGCTGCGTGTCATCAGCGTAGCAATGGAATGATATTCCATGCTGGCTGATGACACGGCCAAGGGGCAGAGTGTACAGGGTGAACAGAGTGGGCCCGAGGACCGACCCTTGAGGGACACCACAGTTGACAGGGTGTGTCTGGGACCTCGCACCTCCCAAGGAGACGAACTCTGTTCTTCCAGACAGGTAGGACTGGAACCAGCTCAGGGCGGAGTCAGAGAGTCCGATGGTGTATTGGAGGCGCTGAAGGAGGATGCTATGGCCGACAGTGTCGAATGCTGCAGTCAGATCCAGGAGGATGAGGAGAGATGGGGAACCAGTGTCAGCCGCCATCAGCAGGTCGTTTGTGACCCTGACCAGAGCTGTTTCAGTGCTGTGGGCGGAACGGAAACCGGACTTGAATTTCTCAAAGAGGCCGTTTAGATGGAGATGGTCCTGAAGCTGGGCGGCAACCACATCTCTAACTGTCTACCAGCATGTCATGCACTCACTGGCTGTGGCACAACAAGTAGTTTGTACAGAATAGGAAAGACATTAGCATTCACCAAACTCGAGTCAAGACCCATCTCAGCGAGCTCAAAGATCTGGCCCATTTTGGACTTTCTGCCAGCTTGGAAGAGTCTTTGCCAGTTGCAAGAGAATTTGCGCTTCTGCTATATGGAAAAAAGGAAATTGGACTGATGTGCACAAACTTGGATGAACTGAGGTTCATAATTGCATCAACAACGGATGCAGCCTCGGAAAATCTGCCGCCAACAGAGGATGCATTTCAACAACATGTAAAGAGCAATGTTTCAGACAGCGATATGGTGTCACAGGCCGAACCCAAACCCTTGTTATGGAGTCCTGTTGGTAAGGGGTGGATTGTCAGAGATGGGGCTATTCAACCAGTGCTATTTACAAAACCCCAGCACCTAGAGAATTGAGAGACATTACTCACTTGTATTGCAAAGATGCAAAG